GTGTGTGTGTGTGTGTGTGTGTGTGTGTGCGCGCGCGTGTTCAGACCGTATGCTGTTTCACTCTCTCTTTCTCTCACGGTGCTCACTACTAAGCCGGTAAGAGTTTAAGAAGGGTGTGAACAACACAGTGTAGTATTTAAATGGAATTAGGAACAATAGAAATTAAACAATATTTTAATTCTTTTAAAATGTATTCCATTATCTAAATGAGATGTACTGTATGTGAAAACATTCATTCGGCTCTGACTGAAGAACAACTTGCAAGAATCTGTTATCTGCGACTGCAAGGTGTTCTGCTCCTCTTAACTAGTTATCTTCCACCTTTGCCCTGCCAGCAGACGTTTGACATACACTAAAGTTCACCTGAGACGAGATTGTGTTTGAAAGACACACATCATAAAGCTAAAGATTAGTCAATATGAAACACAGCCGATATCTCAACGATTTCAAGCCAGATGAAGCAACCTACAAAAAACGTACCATGGTATTACCATGTTTTTTAAACATGGTAAGCAGCATTCTTTGAAGCACAATATAGTACCATTTAAATCCCATGGTGTATTATTATTGTAATAATCCAATACCATGGTATTACATGGTACTCCAGAGTAAGGAACACAATAGTATCAGCATAAAAAACAAGGTATAGTACAATAATGTTAATACTATGGTACTATGGTACAATAATGCTAATACACCATGGTAGGCTACTGAAATTCGTATGTGACCCTGGAGCACAAAACCAGTCATAAGCAGCACGGGTATATTTGTAGCAATAGCCAACAATGCATTGTATGGGTGAAAATTATCAATTTTTCTTTTATGCCCAAAATCATAAGGATATTAAATATAGATCATGTTTCATGAAGATATTTTGTAAATTTCCTACCGTAAATGTATCAAAACTTAATTTTTGATTAGTAATATGCATTGCTAAGGACTTCATTTGGACAATTTTAAAAGCAATTTTTGCAACATTTTGATTTTTTTTGCGCCTTCAGATTCCAGATTTTCAAATAGTTTATCAATGGAAAGCTTATTTATTCAACTTTCAGATGATGTATAAATCTCAATTTCAGAAAACTGATCCTTATGACTGATTTTGTGGTCCAGGGTCACATATTATGGCATTTATATGGTATTTCAGTGTCCAAAATACCACGATTCTGTAGCACATGTTTGTAAAGGTCGTTTGCTTTTAGTCCAAGGACGAAATTACTTCATCACCGGAAAATAAATGCCAAAATATACAGAAGACGAAATATTTGCAGCATCTGAACGAGGTCGCTGATAGTGTCTGATGACATAATTCTGCTGCAGAGAATCCTGTTCAAATCCACGAGACTCAAGAGCCTGATGTTGCTGATGATCCTCCGCAGATCCGTACAGACATAACGCCGTCTTTAATGCCTCTGCGGCTGGATTCCACCGGTTAATAAACCCGACTAACGGACAAACGGTGCAAAAACCGAACGCGCACCGCTGTGTGATGAAAAACAGATGTTCGCGCGCGGAACGCGGCCGTTAGAATGAGCGAAGCTGTCAAAGAAGCGCCTTCGTTTTAATCCTACCGTTACCGTTTGCCGGTTTGATCTGTCCCGTTGGATTTTAAACGCCTTCTTGCGTCACGCAGCGACGGGGAATCGTGTTTTGCCACATAACGGGAAAACGCTCCGCCGCATCACGTTATATGAACCGCTGTACCGTTATTTCTGTTTCTGACTGCTGACATCATAATGCGGTGACCGACCAAATCATAAGTAATTATATTTTAACAGTTTCCTTATGCAAAACGAATGTGAATATTAATATGATACAAACGTTCGTCAAAGAAATAAGCGCTTATAGAAAAGCGTACATACCGGATCCTGCTGTTTTGTCCCGTTATTCCGGATTATTATGGCTTCATGTGACATTCCTCCTCCGGTGACAGTGTGATAATAGTTAAAGCTGCCGGTGTTACTCGCGTTCGTGTGTTTGTAGGAAAAGGAGGGAGTAAAAGTACTACACGACGGGCGGAGGAGGAGAGG